GTGTGTGGGGGCGGGGGGGGAGGTGTATAGACTATGCACATTCCCAAAAGTGGCGGCAGGACATCTGGGCACAGGGAGCTGAGTTGCCCTCTCCTGGTTCAGGCAGGGCTGTTGCCCAGCCCTTCTGGGGCATCACACACCTGCTCCCCAGAACCCCAGGTGTTCCTTTAGCCATGCAGACACTGGCACTCACATTTTCAAGGAGCAGGAAGGCAGCAGCAAGGGGTTATAGGATCAGGAAGTCAAGAGACTGGGTTTAGTCTGAATCCCTGATTTGTACCCTAGAGCTTCCTTTCTGCCCCAACTTCCTCATTTTAAAAGGTGGGGTCCTTGGTGTTTCCTGGGTTCCTGCCCATCTCTGCCATTCTGTGCCTTGCTCCCCCTGGGGAGGGCACCAGTTCCGGGAGCCACTGTGTGCAGCCCTGCTGGCCTCTGTCTTGTTTGGGAACCTGTTTCTGATGGATGGTCTGTCTCCCTGTCTGGATGTCAGCTCCGGTGAGCAGACTCACCTCTCTTGTTCGCTGTCCTAGAAGCAATGCTCGGAACAGTGTCTGGCACAGAGAAGGTGCTCAGCAAATAGTTGTTGAATGACTGCAAAAGGCTTTGTTGAATGACAGCCAGTACTTTGCTGTGCCAGCCACTGGGCCCTGCCCCAAGGGTCAGCAAGTGAGCATAACGCAGCCCCCTGCCCTCAGCTGGACTCTGCTGAGAGGACGATACAGAGCTGTAACCCCGCCTCCACTTGCTCACCATGTGTCTGGATCCCACGCAGTCTCAGCGACCTCCCACCCAGGGGCATCTTCAACCCACCTCCAGCCTGGCTCTGAGATCTCTCCTGGCCTCACCTCCCTTCGAGGTGGCCTGCACGGCCTGGTTCCAGCGGCACCTACCTGAACAGCTCAGAGGAGCAGTGACACCCCTCATACCCAGCAACGGGCTCAGGCTGAGGGCTCACGGAGGAGAGTGAGAACCCCACAGCCTCACCATGACCCCGGGACCCTGATCTCTCAGGCAGGTGGGCTGCAGTCAGAGACTACTCAGCCTGTCCCAGAAGGTGGGGGTCTGTGTCGTGTGGGAGGAGGAAGAAACTGGCTGAGGAAACTGAGCCATTCTCTGAGGTTCTCACTAGTTTGGTATCAGATCCGAGACACCAGCCAAATGGTGACATTGGTCATCTGAAGGCACAGCTTGGGGACAGCCCCTTGGGAACGTGCCCAGAGGGAGAGGAGGACACAGGGGGTGGGAGGATTTGGAGAAGTTGTCCATCTCAGCTGGTCAGCCACAGCCAGAGTCTGGTCCGACCTGTTACTTAAGTGCTAGCCCCAATGTGGACTCTCTGACCTTTCCCCTCTATGACCTCTGTCTCCTCAAGGCAGGGCAGGGCAAACAAGAGGCCTCCATTTCCTCCTCCTCCTAGATAGAGAGCCCCAAGTGATGATTGTCACCACAGTCATTGCTGCTGGCCAGGCTCTCCTGCAGCACCTCCTGGTGCATCCACCCATGAGGAGGCCTCCTTATTCCAGCTTTATTGACCTAAAGGCCAAGGTGGGAGCAGCTGACAGCTGGGATGAGGGGTTGCTGGGGTCCAAGCCAGGGCCTGGGCCAGAAGGAGGAGATCTGCCCTTGGACTCAGAGTCCTTCCAGCCCCTGGTCTGAAAGACAAGGCTTGGATTCACTCACCCAGTGACAGAAGCCAATTGGAAATTGCAGAGGGCACAACATGAACTCGTTCTCAGGTCCTAGAAACAAACCAGCCTTTGCATTGGGTGGGGTCACTTAAGCACCCCTGGAGGAAGGGAGTCTGCAGCCAGGGTCCTTTGGTTTCCACAGCCTTCTAGAAGGTCAGGAGGTTGCAGCTTCCCTGGGGAAACCCAGCCAGCCAGGAAGAGGACAGCCTGGCCCCCTTCATGTTGGAAAGATTTCAAGAAGGAAGGACCCAGGCCTAGAACTGCTAACTGCGCAGTGAAGGGAGATTTCATGGGAGGGGAGAAGGAAATAGCAAAAAAAACAAACAAACAAAAAATCAAACCCTGGGAAAAGGGAAGTGGCTGATAGAAAGGCACGTGTGGATGAATTTTAATGCAATCAGAAAGCTGTCATAATGATAATAAAGGGATATATTCAGACACCAGGAGAGAAGGCAGGGAGGCGTGGTCCCACATTTAAATCAGGCACAGGCTAGGAGGGCCTTCTCTTCACTCCCTTTTTCCTTCCCAGGGAATTTCTAAGCAGGAGGGCCTGGTATTAGGGGGTGGTTTTCACTTCTTTGTCTTTCTGAAAATCCTGTTAATGGGGAACCTTTAGAAGGCCTTGGCAGTGGGATGGGGTGCACTGCCTGGGCCTGGAAAGGAGTTTCAGTTACTCCAAGAGAGGCTTTAAAAGCTCCCAGCTCATCTCAGGTCAAGTGCTGCGCTTCTGAGAGTTAGACATGAGCCTCCCACCTCCTCTCCTCTGCCCCGCCCTCTCCTCCTGCAGGTCTCTCCTCCCTGCTCTCTGTCTATTTCTGATTCCTTTTATCTGTCCATCTTCACCGTTTTCCCTCCCTCTCTGCTCCTAACCCCATCTCCTGCCATCCCTCCTCAGCCTCACCCCTTTTTACTGTCTCTTTCCCTTTCTCTTGGTGTCCCAGTCTTTGCCCCCCAGCCCAGAGCTGGAGTTGGTGAGCCCTGGAGATAAGACAGGGGCATGCCCAGCCCTGCCAAGGCCCAGAAGCCTGGTTGAGTGGGCAGGCTGGGGCAGTTGGCAGGGTGGGGCCTTCAGGCCCCCAGCTTTGGCTAAAGCCCTCCCGTGGTGGAGGTCCAGGCTAGTGCGCCCTAACCCAGAACTAGTAACAGGAACTGATGCCTGCAGGGTGTGGAAGGAGTAGGAACCCAGGGCCACCTCATGATGATGACATGCCCAGTGCTGGGTGCTCTGGGTGAGGCGGACCAGCAGGGCAGCGGTTAGGGCTTCCTGAAGAGGAGGAGTCTGGGGTGGCTTGTGAAGGAGAGCTGGGGCCCGGAGGTTTCCTGCTTCGCTCGAGACACCAGGGCAGCCCTCAGCTCTATGTGAACTCTCCTGGCTGTGGGTGAGGGGGCTCTCTGGGGCAGGAGGTACCCACTGCCCTGGATACAGAGGGACATGGTCCCAGAGTGCCCCTGCCTTCCAAGAAAACCATCAACACATGACCCATTGCAGCTTTGGGGGTGGGGGATACATTTCTGTAGCCTTAGCTGCCTGTGCCCTTGTGTGCCAGTCACTCAACCGTCTGTAGACATCTAGTGAGTGCCTGCTGAGTGCTGCCGCCACAGGGCCCCTGTTCCAGCTACTGAGGCTGCATAACAATGTAGCCTAGAGTGAGGGGTATGATACAACCGTTTATTATGCTCTCGGATTTGGTGGGTCAGGAACTCAGACGGGGCACAGCATGGAAGGCCTGTCTCTGCTCTAGGATGTCTGGGCCTCTGCTGGAAAACTCAAAGGCTGGGCCAGGAGTCATCCGGGGACTCATTCACTTCAAAGTCTGGTGGTTGGTGTTGGCTGTCAGCTGGGGCCTCGGTTCCTTTCTGTGTGCACCCACCGTGTGGGCCCCTGGGGTGTTCGTCACAGCGTGGTGTCTGGCTGCTACAGGGCAAGCGTCCCCCAAAGAGAGATCTGAGTGGAAACTGATCCCTTTTATGACGTAGCCTTGGAAGTCAGCGGGCATCACTTCTGCTGTTCTTGCTTGGTTAGAGCAGTCACAGCCTCACCCAGATTCAAGGGAAGGGGACATGGACCCCAGCCTCTCAGTGGGAGGTGTGACGTCATGTTTAAATAAGAACGTGCAGGGTGGGAAATCTTTTTAAAGTCGTGGCGATCTGTCAGCCTAAACACAGAGCTGAATTGTGTCAACAAACCACTTGGTACTCAACACAAGTGTGGGGAAGCTGCTGGGGGAACCCAGTCTTCAGGCTCTCCAAAAGTGCCCAGGGCTGAATTTTGCAGCATGAACAAATAGGAAGCCCTGAACCAAGGAGGTGAAAACATGTGAGATAGAAAGGAGACGTGTCCCATGGAATGGCATAGAGCATTCACTCATTCTAGCACTCTGTCCCCAGGGCCTACTGTGTGCCAGGTGCTGCTGCTCCAGGAGGGCCTACTATGTGCCAGGTGCTGCTGCTCCAGGAGAGGCCCAGTCTCTTCCCCAGGGAACATAGGGGTGGTGAGGGGGAGGAGGGGCACTGGCAGGGAGCTAGACAGAAACCAACTATACAGGCAAAACATGAAATAATTATCTTTCAAAAATCAGGCCATGAGAGTGAGGGGCTGAGACAGAGAATAAAGGAGAGGTGGAAGGAGGGGCTTTGATGAGGAAGCAATATTTAAACTGAGACCTAGAAGAAGAGAAGGAATCAGCCTTGTGATGTGGAGGGCACCCCAGGCAGAGGGACCAGCATATGCAAAGGCCCTGTGGCAGACTTGCTTGTTGTGAGTTAATTTTGGCAGCTGTGAGTGAAGGTAGATGAGGAAGAGGGTGTGTCTGAGACGAGGGAAGAAGGGACCTCAGGACTGCATGAATGACCCCTGTGCCTAGGTGAGTGGCCAGGCCCATGGCCTTGCTCCCTCGTTGTGCGACAGGAGGGGGCAGAGTCGCTGCAATCCAGCTCCCCCTTCACCCAACCCTTTCCGCTGGCTTGGCCCTCCCTCTACCTCTAGCCCTTACCCCAGTCTTCTCTGCCCCACTAGCTAAGCCCCACCCCAACCACGCCCGCTCCCTGCTACCCTCCTGCCCCTGGGGTCTGAGCCCCGCCTCGCTTTGCCCAGCTTCTCCCTCCCCGGAAACCCTTCTCCTCCCGCCGTGCCCGGTTCCCCCACCCCCACCCCCGGCGGGGCGGTGGAACGAGGTCTTTCTCTGTCTCTGCTTCTCGGTGGCTCCCCTTTCCTCTCGGTCTTTCTCTCTCCTGCCGCCTCTCCGCCCTCGCCCTGGCCTCCCTCTGGGCCCTGGGCCCTGGGCCCTGGCTCAGCCCCGCCTGTCCCCCCAGGGTGCGCCTTTGTGAAGTACTCTTCCCACGCCGAGGCGCAAGCCGCCATCAACGCGCTGCATGGCAGCCAGACCATGCCGGTGAGTTCGGCCACCCCTGGGTGGGGCTGGAACGCGGGCAGAGGCCAGGTGACACCCCTGCCCATCCCAGAGCGCCCGCAGGGCCCTGCCCACCCTTGCACCGTCCCTACCATGCAAAACCCTGGCCGCGCTGCTCACTGCCTCCGCATGAGACAGGAAGGCATTACCACTATCCCATATCTCAGACAGGGACACTGAGGCCAGACATGTAAGGAACTGGCCCGCCGTACAGTTAAGACCCCAGACCCCTGGGCGAGCGCCGTCCCGCAGCCCCCAGAAGCGCCTCCCCAGAGGAGAGGGAGGGCCTAGGTCAGGGGCACGGACAGCTGGACAGCTGGGAGCGGAGGCAGCTAGGGCAGGTGGGCCTCACGCGCAGTCCCGGCTACAGGGAGCCTCGTCCAGTCTGGTGGTCAAGTTCGCCGACACTGACAAGGAGCGCACGATGCGGCGAATGCAGCAGATGGCTGGCCAGATGGGCATGTTCAACCCCATGGCCATCCCGTTCGGGGCCTACGGCGCCTACGCACAGGCAGTAAGTGAGGGCGCAGACGGGGGTGGGGGTGTATGGGCAGGGGTTCTTGGCTAACTCTGCTCAGAACCCCAGAGCAGGGACACCTCTCTTTGCCAGGGGAGCCCTGTGTTTCTGGCCCTGGGGAGTGGGAATGAACCTGGGGGGGGGGGGTAGAAGCCAGAGAGGGCTGAGGGAAGTGTGGTTCAGTCCAGGGTGGCTGACAGGAGTGGTGGTTTGCTGCCCTGGTTCTTAAGGAGCAGGGCAGCAAGGTGGGTTATCCTGAATGCTCCCCTGCTAGTCAAGCTCTAGGAAGCACCAATGGAAGTGGGGAGAGAGGTTGAAGTGTTTGGGTGTCACCACCCACCCCTGCCCCCATTCATGGAAGGGTGTGCTGGGCCTCTGGTCGCTCCTGGCAGGGGTCCTGTGTGGCTCCTCAGAGCCCATCACACCAATGCTTCTGCTGCAGTCCCCCATTTCCTCCCCCCAGCCCCTGGCTTGCCAACTTCGTCCTTCCACCTTGGGTCCTTCTTGGCCAGCTTCTCCCCTAAGCTGCCTCCCAGATTTGTAGCCACAACCCCCACTGGTGCCATCCACTCCCATGGCATCGGTGCCCATGCAGGCCTCATCCACTGGTAGTCTGTCTCAAAAATGTTCTAATCTCAGGGGAATCAAGGGAAGGCGGGATGTGAGCCCCATGAAGACTTTGGAATAGTTAGCTCTTTGGGGGTGGTTTCTAATAGTCTTTGAGAGCTAGGGCAGCAATGGGGGAGACATCGGGGTTCTCTGGGGGGTGGGGAGCTGTGTCTGAGCTCCCTGGGGTTCAGGGCCTAGGAGGCTGGTGTCCAGGAGCTGAGCCCCCTGGTGGGAGGGTTGCCCCCCCTGGAAGCGCATGATATTTTTTCCACTCCTTCTGCCCCAGCTGATGCAGCAGCAAGCGGCACTAATGGCATCAGTCGCGCAGGGCGGCTACCTGAACCCCATGGCTGCCTTCGCCGCCGCCCAGATGCAGCAGATGGCGGCCCTCAACATGAACGGCTTGGCAGCCGCACCCATGACCCCAACCTCAGGTGAGCCAGCAGGTACCAACACAGGACACAGCTGAACCCAGGTCCAGACCTTTTGTTTGGCCAATTTCGGCTACATTGGACCACCTTGTGGCAAACAGCACATGGCATCGGTCCCCATGCAGGCCTCATCTACCAGCAGTTTTGTCTCAAAATGTTCTAATCTCAGGGGAACCAAGGGAAGGTGGGATGTGGGCCCCATAAAGTCCTGTTATGGTTTCAGGGGGGTGGGAATTTCACTCATGTTGTTTTGGAAAGAAATTGACATGAACCCATCTCCCCTTGAGTTCTGAGGGGAGAAGAGCCCTGCCCCTTCTGTGGCCTTGTTTGGTCCCTCGCCCAAGCATAGAAGGGGCTGATTTTTAAATGTCCCTTTAACCCAACATAGACTGACTGGCTTTTTCCAAGAGAGCTACACAACAAGCAAGAGAGAACCACAGAGTTACTAAAGGACAGGGGGGTGGGAAACAGCCCTGCTCACGAAGTGTGTTTTTAATTGGATCCTGGTTAGTATCCAGTTCAGTGATTCTCAACTGGGGCAATAATTTCATGCCTACTCTCTCCCCACCCCAAGGATATCTGGCAATGTCCTGAGACCCTATTGGTTGTTACAACTTGGGGAGGGGAGTGAACTCTGATGTATTAGGTAGAAGCCAGGGTTGCTGCTAAACATCCAACAATGCACAAGACAGCCCCCATGACAAGGAAATGTCTGACCACAAATGTCAATAGTGTCAACATTGAGAAAACCTTGTCTAGTCCCGAGGGCTGGCCCAACAGCCTGGGCTTTCATTCACCAAGCTTCCTCGCTCTCCACACCCAGGTCATAGCAACAGCCTTCCTTACACCCCCAAGCGATTCCTTTCCCAGATAAAGTCCATAAAAAACTGTGCCATCTCTAGGCCCAACTTGAGTACCACCTCATAGCTCTGATCCCCAGTTTAGGGATATTCCTGGACCCAGGCCAGCCTCATGTCCTAGTCCACAGAGAGATCCTGCTTTCTACATGAAGGGAAAGGCCCTTTCCAGCTTTGAGGTCTTAATACAATCACCAAGCCAGCCACCCCTTTGGTTCCACCCACCTGGCATAGAGAGGGCACAATGTATTGTCATCTGACCCTAACTTTACTCTTGCCACTGTGAGCATAACCATAATCTCAACAGGAGGAGGCCAAGGTGTCTACTGTGTATGAATAGGGCTGAGTCTGGACTCTGCAAAGTCCTCTCTCCCTCATTGCAGGGGAGCTCCAGAATTAAGACCTCCTCCACCCACGTAGCAAAACTTCTTCCTGGGGGAGGCAGATCAGCCCCTCCGTGATCCAGGCAAGAGAGCAGAGCCAGCGACTTAGAAGCCTGTTGATGGCTAAACAGGGACTAGCCCATCCTGACTTAGCTGGGGTGAGCAAGAACCACTGGAAAGAACTAAAGGAAGACCAAGTGTGGTCAAATTCAAAGGTATTGAGAATAGTCTATGTACTGTAGTTCCAAGGTTGAGTGGTCAGTGGTCAGGGAAGTCTTCATAGGGTAGGTGGGATCTGGACTCTGCCTTGAAGGGTGGATACAGATGGAAGTGATCCAGGATGTGATTGAGTCGGTGTGTGAATTCCAAGTGTACACCCAGGCCATTGGAGCCAGGAGGTGGAGCTCCATGGGTTGGCCTTTTCTCACCTTTGTTCTTCTTGCCTCCCCTCCTCCTCCACCCTTCCCCATCTCTGAAACCAGGTGGCAGCACCCCTCCGGGCATCACTGCACCAGCCGTGCCTAGCATCCCGTCCCCCATTGGGGTGAACGGCTTCACTGGCCTCCCCCCACAGGCCAATGGGCAACCTGCTGCAGAAGCTGTGTTTGCCAATGGCATCCACCCCTACCCAGGTAAGCACATCTGGCAGCCCTTCCTTACCCGCGCAGCACACCCCTCATCCATTCTGCCGCTGCCCTTGCTGTTACAACCGGGAATGTGTGGCTCCTGCCCTCCGTCCATTCCTTGGTGGAACCCCAAATGTGATCAGGGAGATCAGGGAACCTCTGGTGGGAGAAATCAAGTTCCCATCCTTGGGGAGGTGTCTGTCTGGTAGGTGAGAAAGAATGCATTCCTGGGGCTCCTGCAGGGAGAAAAGAGAAGCGATGTAGTAATTGTACAACCAGAGGCTAGTAACTGCAAATTAATTGAGAGTGAATTTGACCTATAAGAAGTCATGGGACAGAAGCTAAAATAATAAGTATACTTAGTGTTAAGTAGGAAAAGACTCTTTGGGAAAGGAAAGGGAAATACGTAGATTGACATTCTGGTGGGTACATACTGGAGTACACACAACCCCTATCAGCACATCGCACATAGGGTCAGGACCTTGGACAGCTCCCAGGTCCTGCTTTGATTAGTTCTGACACACAAGATCCGGGAGGCCAGGGCCTGATTAACTCTGTTCCTCTCAAACTTAGCAGCTCTTTCATGGTGGGACTGTCCAGTTGACTTAAGCAGCTCCAATCTCTGGCCTTGAGGATGGATAGAGCAGGAGAGCTGAGCCCGAAGCCCTGTGGTAGACTAGCAAGGGACAATGTCTCAGAGATGCGGGGAGTGCTGTCCTCCTTCCTAGAGGGCAGATGACAAAGTTGCAGAGTCCCTATGAGTACAAGTAAGTGCCCAGTCTGTGCTGGATGGAAGGGGACCCCCAGAAGGCGGGCAGGATGGGGGGCCTCTCCCCTGGGAGGTCAAAGTCCAGTCAGGAACACAATATACGTCGACAGAATTTTGAAAGAATAAGCAGAATGTAATCTGATCAAGAGTGAATGTTTCCATTGTGAGGCGCTAAAGATTTCAAAGGAAGGGAGGGTTCTATAGGCTGAAGAAGCCCAGCAGAGCTGCCTTACAGGAGGCTCAGACGGACGTTGACAATGGGTAGGAATTGGAAAGGAGAGGACGGACAAACCAGGGGCACATCCTAGGGAGCGGCTGTCCTGGAGGCCCAGCGGGAGGAGGGGCCTTCCTGGTGGGCCAGGGATGGTGAGGTTGGCCCAACCAGAGCAGAGGAGGTCTGCTTGAGGTGGGTCAGCCGTGGGCGGCAGAGTAACGCTGCCCACTCTGGTTGTCCATCAGAATCCACTGTGTGGCTTTGTAAAACCACAGAAGCCCGGCGGTTGTGATTTCAGTGTCTGCTAATGATTTCAGGAGTGAGGCCCAGACCTCCAGAAAATATAAAAATTCCAGCAGCGACAGAGGGCAAGTCCCTGTGCTAGAGAAAACCAAAGGAGAATGTGCTGACTTTGAACTTGGAGTTGTGCTTGTTTTGTCTTAGTGTTTGCCCCTCAACTCACCTCTCAGTGCACAGAGAGGAGGCCAGAGAAGCCTAGAGAGAGAAGCGGCAGGGCCCTGGGTCTGGAGTTGTTTCAGGATGAAGAGTCCAGGCTGGCAAGGGAGGCAGCTCAGGGGCTGGGCAGCTGGAGGTGGGAGTGGGCCCACCAATCTCAGGTTCCTGGGCTCCGCCTGCCTCAGGCTCATGGGCTGGGAGATACAGTCCCCGCACATCTGGGTGGTTTCATTCCCCCGCCTCCGTGCCCACAAGCCCATCTGGAGCTCTGGATTTTGACAAACCTGTTCTTTCCCCACCCCCACCAGCATCTGTGAGCTATTTCCCTCGTGGACTTTGGAACTGTTTCTCTCCCCCATTTGTAACAATCTGCCATATCCCATAAACAATTCCCTGCCGGAGCAGGAGGGAGGGGTGGAGGGAAGGAAAGGAGAAAAGTAGTACATTAAAAAAATTAATTTACCATCTTTAAATGCGGAGTTTGGAGCCGCTGTAATGAGCGAGATCCTTCAAAATGTTCACTCTTTGGCAGTTACTAATGAGGTCATTAAGCAGAGAAGTAGAGAGGGTCTCAGAAATGCCTTCCTCCACTTCCTAGCCCCAGGTAGCTTCCCCGCTCTCCCCTCTCCTCATCGAGATCATGTTGAAAGCACATAGTGTGGCCTTTACTGCCACATAACACCCCTGCAGGGGTGTCTCTATAAATGTTAAGGATGATTCCTTCTTTCCTATGTCACAGTATTTGCTGAGCACTTGCTATGATCCTGGCACTGTGCATGTGTGAGTGTGTATATGTGTGTGTGTGTGTGGGGGGGGGTGGTGTCGCGGCTGTCATGTGAGTTGTGCAGGTTTTATGTTACACAGGGCACCACACTGTGTGCCAGAGATAGAGACAACTCTTTCTTTAATTTGCATAAAGGCAGGATGTGGTTGAGGGGCTGGGGAGACCAAGAGCCGAGGTGGGTTTCCCTCCAGAGAACTGAGGCAGAGTCAGGGAGAGGGAGCAGCAGGGAGGAGAGGACACCCCCAAGCACCACCACTACCACCTCCGCACTGGCAGGTCCTGGCTCCAGGCCCCACGAGCGGAGGGAAGAGAGGGACAGGGCTAGGATCCGACTTCAGCCACCCCTCTGAGCAGCCCTGGCCCAGCTCCCCTGCTGCAGCCCTCAGTCCTTAAGCATCTCTGCCCTGTGATTTCCCTGGCTGCCCTGAGGTCCAGGTGCTATTGTTGGAGTGGGATGTTACTGAAGCTCAGAAACAGGAGCTCAGGAAGGAAGTGGGGAATTCTTCCTGGTCTACAAGGCCCCTAAGTCTGGCACTGCCAGTTAGCTTGGCGACCAAGGTCACCAGGCAGGTAAGTCCCGATGGTTTTCTTTCTGCCTCCTTGTGTTACCCAGTTTTCTCTGAACTTACTGTGGCTAGGTCTGTCCCCACCCACCTCTCCAGGCCTCTGAGGCCAGCCTACTTCCACTAGCCATCGCCACCAAAGGCAGTGCCCACTGTTGGCCTTGCACTAGGCTTCGGCCCACAGCCTCTAAGACCCAGCAGAGGCAACAGAAGTGGACCAAGCCTTCCGCAGCCTGGCTGCCCTCAGTTCTTGCCCAAGTGTCAGCATGAGGGCCCTCTTCTCGCACCGGGCAGTAGACATCCAAGAGTCACAAATTCGGGCTGGAGGAAGGTCCTTGGCCTGCTGGTTCCTCAGTGTCTGTGGGCACCACTCCTCTCCCAGCCCACAGGCAGGTCTCATCTGTGTGGCCAGTCCTGCCCAAGGTGTCTTAGCCACGGCCTGGGGATGGAAGCCTCGGGCCTTGTGCCAACTCCATAGACTACAGGAGAGGGTCCCTCTGCCTGAGCAGCCATGGGTGGCCCAGGAGGACAGAGTGGCAGGGTGAGGCCCCCCCTGTGCCTTCCTTTCACCAGCTGGGTTCTGCCCCCGGACTTCTGCTAAGGGCAGTGAGGATGAGACCAGCCTCCTGACAGCCTCTTGCCCACTTTCCACAGCCCTTCTCCTGGGCCAGGTCCCTCATGTGTCCCCACTGGCCAAGCCCCTCATGGCCAAGCTTCTGGCATCTTCTTCCCAGCCCTTCCCAGCCTTCTGCATAAAGCATCTGTCTCCCCCCACCCCAGGCCAGCTGCAGGCTGCATCCCCCAGCCAGGGGGGCAACCTCCACCCTACTAAGGGCCCTGGACTGGAGAAGGGGGAACCCCAGCAAGGCAGGCACTCAGATGACCTGCCCCAGGGCAGACACCACAGTGCTTGGGAAGGGCAATGCAGCCACGGTGCCATCTCCATGGGCGTGGTGGGGGAGGGGCTGGCTTGGGGGGGCATCACTGACCTCTGCCCCTTGGCTCCCCTGCAGCGCAGAGTCCCACGGCCGCGGACCCCCTGCAGCAGGCCTACGCGGGAGTGCAGCAATATGCAGGTCGTTAGTACCCGCGCGTGCCCACTGCTCCCCCAGCCCTGCTCATCCCCACCTAGGCCTGGGCCAGGCACTGTAGGGGAGGGAGACGGGGGGTGGGGGGGGAGCTGAGGTGAAAGGAGGGAGGGCTATACTCCCAGAGGCCCCTGCTTCAGGCTGCCACCCTCTCGCAGGCCCCTAGCATTCCGGCAGTCTCCCATGGTGCCCTTGGAGAGGTGGGTGGTCAGAACTTCAGGCCAGGTGAGCCAGGCTGAAGTGTTGACCTTGCAGTTATCATCTTTGAGGCCAGATTTCCTTCCCATGGGGCTGCCAAATCAGTGTGTCTAGTTTATCCAGCACCAAGCCACACAGCAGCATGGGGTGGGGAGGGTGGGGGCTGGGGTGCCGCCCACCGCAGTCCACAGTCCACAATTGCCGGTCCTGGAAGCTTAGATGCCTGGGTTTGAGAAAAGGAGAGGCCCTGGAGGGGAAGCAGTTCAACCTTCCGTGCCCCCCACCCCTCCTGCCAGGTAGTGGGAGTTGGTGTGAGCAAGGCTGAGCAAGCAGGGAGGATAGGCAGCCAGAGGTAGAAAAAGGAGGGGTAGATGGCCTTGGGTCACTGAATGGGAAGGGGACCAGCCACTATAGAAAGCCCAAGGCAAGCTGTTAGTCATGCTTCTCTCACTCCCACCCCTGGGCCGGGCAGCACGCACACACACACAAACACGCACACACACACACCTGTGTACATACAAACACAAACACGCACACACCTGTGCACACACACACTTCTCATCTTCACTGCGCGCTTCTCCTTTACTCCTGAGCGCCAGCTTTATCTTACGTGGCTGCACTAAAGTGCACTTTTGACTGGTCTGCTTTTACTGCTCAACACTGAAATGTCTCTTCCTTCTTGCCTCTCACCCTGTCTCTCCGTGTGGCTGTCGTCTCGCTGTCGTCATGTCTTGCTCTCTTGCCTCTTCTCTTTGGCCCTCCAGCAGCCGCCTACCCTGCTGCCTATGGTCAGATAAGCCAGGCCTTCCCTCAGCCGCCTCCAATGATCCCCCAGCAACAGCGAGAAGGTGAGTCTGTAAGCCGGGCTCCCAGGCCCTTCCCCGTCCCCTTCTTCCCCCAAAGAGGCTGCTCCTGGGTCTTCGGTAGGCGTTTTGTTGGAAAAATGACCAAGTTTGTGTGCTGTGTTGAGGTGAGGGAAGAGGGCAGGATTGTGAGACGCGGCGCTCTCCAATGCAGCATGAGGTGGGCTTCTCGGGGCAGCTCTGCAAACCCCAGTGGGGAAGGTTAGGAGGGTGGGACCCTGGACAACTTGGGGGCCCAAGAATTCCCCCTCCCCCAGTGGAGAGGAAGGGAAGAAGTAGGGATGCTCACAGCTGGCATGGGGGGGAGGGGGGGAGGGCAACCTATTGTCAGAAGTTTTACCCTCTGGGTGACCAGGCGAGCCAGATGGGGATAGGGGCCCAAGTGCGGGCCTCTGGGGAGACAGAGATCCTGGAGAGCCACATCCAGAGGCCCTGGTGTGACCAGGGTGGGCCAGGCAAGGCCAGTGCCCAGGGAGGCTGAGGCTCATTAAGACCCAGTGTCCTCCCGTTCCTGAGCTGGAGACCTACAGGAGCTGGATAAACAAGCCCGCCCTCGGGGCCCCATGGCCTGCACGAGCTCAGTTTGACAGGGTAGGAACACTAACAAGGTCCTGTCCTCCCCACCCCCATGAAAAGGTCACCCTGCCAGCGAGGCCACCACTGCCCAGTAGCCCACATGGCCAGGGGGTCCACTGGTCTCCAGTGGCCGGCACGAGCTCTTGCCACAGACTGTCCCACTGTCGGGGATAGTTAGTCCTGGGGAGGACATGTGGGTCTGCGGTCCAAACCCCTTTGGTCAGACAGGCCCCAAACAGGCCTAGAGCCTGAAGGGCTGAGGTCCTCCATCTGTGGGCACCTTTAGTCCCCACCGTCTTGCCCTGTTCACTACACCAGACCCTGTGTGGTCAGTTGCCACTGCAGCCTCTCCTCTGGCCTAGGGTCTCCCACGACTGTCCCCATTCTCCCTGAATAGGGTGTCCTGGATGAGCTACACTGGGGACCAGGGCATGGGAGGGGTGAGATGTGAACCCAGATGCCTACAGAGCCACGCTGCGTACAGGGGAGGGCCCACGGCGCTGGGGGTGGGGTTGTGGGGGAAGGCTTCGGCGGGGGCACACAGAGGTAGGGACACAGGCATGCCTGGCGGGAGGGTGGGGGTAGGGGCACAGCAGGAGCAAAGGCATAGGTGTTGCAAAGGGTGAGATGAGCCTGGGGCTGGGGCGATAGGCTGAGGGTGGGTGGAAGCCAGACCGCAGCTGTGTTCAGTGTTGCAAGAGGCATGGATGGAAAAGAAAGCTGTGTTCCTCCAGCCACGGCCTCTTCACATCATGGCCGCTTCCCCCTGTGCAATGCCCTGGAAGTACCAGGGCACACTGGTTGCTGGGGCGGACCTTCCTTCCAGTCCTTGTCTTTGAGTTGAGCCTGAAAGCCAGCAGATGCCTGAATCCCCAGACAGGCCACGGTTCCCCTCAGGGTTGGCTCCATCCCCGGCTCTGCCAGGGGTGCCCTGTGGTCAGGGGTAGGCACTTTCTGTCTCTGGAGCTCCATTTCGCCATTTTGCAGAAGGCTGGGCTGGACCAGATTGATCTCCAAGTCCTGCTGGTTACGCCATCTGGGTGCTCTAGAACCTGTGAATGAGGGAATACAGTGCAAACTCGGGGCCGCTGGAGTAGGAAAGTGTGTAGGCTCCTTGTTGAGGGGTGAGGGGCAGGGGACTGGTGGGGCTCAGCCACACGCCATGCTGATGGAACGCAATCCACGGGCCTTCCCTTGAAGGCTCCTTGTCTTTCAACGACAACATAACATACACATAAAGCAGCTTGCAGAACTTGAACTTGGAACATGGGCCCCAAGTTCAAGGCAGGTGTCAGCATTGAGAGGAGAGGGAAGCCCTGAAGAATGGGTCTGGGAGGGGAGAAGGCATGTACTGGGGAACTGGGGTGGGGGTGGAGGGTGGATAGGTCAGGAGGGGGCAAATGCACCTGCTCCTAGAGAGCACCCCATCTGGCTGGAGAGAACCTCCTAGACATGAAGGAGAAAGAGCCTCAGAAGGCCGGCCGAGTATGGAATGTGGACTCAGGGAGCCGTGGCAGGGGGCGGGTGTGGGGAGCATCTGGGTGGGGGTCCTAGAGGAGCTGTGGCTTAGATTAGTCCTTCAAGCTGGTTCCTGCCCCATGGGGACTCACATCTAGCTGGGGACCATCAAGGGACACACAGCATGAGCCAGCGAACACACATGGTGGGAGGGGATGGGCTAGGAGAGGGTCGCCAGAGCTTGGGGGACCCAGCACCGGGACCCCAGTGCACACTTGCACCAGTTCTGAACAGTTCTGAATGCTGTAACCTGGCTGTTTGCCTGGGAAACGGCGGTCCAGGGAAGGGACTGGGGTGGGAACCAGGGACCCAGGAGGTCAGCAGCTCAGAGGGCGGCTGTGGGGGTCAGAGGAGTCTTTGGAAGGAGGAAGGCGGAAGGTGGGAGGGGAGAGAAAAGGCAGGGAAGGGCAGAGACTCCAGAACGAGCTCTTTGCTCCAGGACTGGGCTGTCTGGCCTTGCCCTTCCCAGAGAACCGTGGCCATTGGTTCTGGCCGGAGGAGCCGCACAGCCCACGTCGGTGCCTTACAGCCTTCACTTTGAGCTCACGTTAGTTTCCACCAGCTCCCATCAGAACCTCAGCTCGTACACAACTCTGACAAATGCAGCTGTGTCCTTTGCATGTCCTCCGTGGGGTGGAAAGCACTGGAATGACCACACTCTGACAGGTTAAGTCAGAGGTGCCATGCTATGCTTAAGATGGCAGGAAATAGATGAAGTATCAGAGAGATTTCCATTTCAACGAGTTAAAATTGAGCATTTGGGTCGCTTAAAAAGAGAAAAGTAAATCTTCAGCTATCTGGAAATTTCAGAAATCCTTCAGAGTTTCTGGGACATTGGGATTTATGACAGATAGGTAGAGAGAGGAGAAAGCACAGACTGGAGGCAGATAGCCTGGGTCTATATTCTGGCTCCACCTCCTAGTAGCTGTGTGACTTTCGGTAGGTGACTTAACCTCTCTGGGCCTCAGTGTTCTCATCTGTGAAGTGGGGAGGACAAGCTATAGAAGTGGCAGGGCTGTTACTGTAACGAAATGAGGCTCACGGCTAGTCATGGAGCCTGGCTGTGGAGCCCCTCCTGTGCACCTAGCCCACCAGAGGAGGCAGGGTAAATCTTGATTTCTGCCTTTGAGACCAGGGCTGAGTTTGAGAAGGTGGGGCCATTGGGAAGCAGACGGAAAGGAGTGGCTGCAGGCCAGGGAGGAGGCCAGGCTGAGCTCCCACCCCTGGGTGCAGGAGGTGAGATGAAGCTTCCCACCCACTGCACCAGCACCACTGGCGTGCCTGCCCCAGGACAATCCCCTCTGCCCTCCCCTGAGCAGGGGCTGAGCAGGAGGGAGGCCCGCAGCCCCTCCCAGGTCTCCCCACAGCCCCTCCCAGGTCTTCCCTCCTCTGCTTCTCCTCAGCACTTGGTTCCCACTGCCATCAGGCCTGTGTTCACCCCTTTTACTCCATCCCTCCACCCCTGGAGCCCCAGAGTTGCTAGGCAGGCACCCTGTTATAGATCCATTTTGCAGAAAAGGCAACTGAGGCACAGAGAGGTTCAGTGACTTGCCCAGGGGCAGACCAGTGAACAGAGCTCAGACCGTGGGCTCAGCAGCCCCCCTTCTTCTTGGATCTTGGATGAGACCCCCCTTCCTAACCTCGCCCCACCCCTCCCTGCTGCCGCTGCCTAACTCGCTCACCTCTCCTCTGTCTCTCTCTTCCCCCACCCCGCCATCCCTCCTTCCCCGCCCCCTCCCCTCACCGCAGGGCCCGAGGGCTGTAACCTGTTCATCTACCATCTGCCCCAGGAGTTTGGGGATGCTGAGCTGATGCAGATGTTCCTCCCTTTCGGTAATGTCATCTCCTCGAAAGTGTTTGTGGATCGGGCGACTAACCAAAGTAAATGCTTTGGTGGGTAAAGATAACAAACCAACTAGCTTCACCTAGGACAGGGCGGTGCTCGCACCAATTTACCGCAACTGCTTTAACCTCCCCTCACACAGCTCCCCACCCCCACCAGGTGCCCCCTATGGCCCAGCCTCCATCCACCTCCTCTCACTCTTCTTTTCTCTTCTACTTTTGGCTTCTTGGCTTTCCCTGCCCACCTCTCCAGCTCCCCATTCTCCCCTTCCCAGTCCAAGAGCTAGGTTCCCCTCCCTGCTAGGAGTCCCAGTTCCCACCCACCGAGAAGGGGGAGGAGCCACCTTGGGCAGGGGTGGGAGGGGGCAGCCAGCAGAGCAGGCCACCAACACCCACTTTCCCCAAACATCAGAGTGGCCCCTGGATGAAAGCCGAGCCTGATCCTTGTCGGGGCTCTGCCTAGCTGAGGCCCTACCCGCCTCCCCTTGGCTTCCTCCCGTCCACCTCTCTGTCCCTCCCCCCTCCCCCTTCTCTGTCTACCCTGCTCTTTGCTCCCCTCCTGCCATCCAATGAACTCTCCTTCCCCCACCCACCCTCTCAGATCACCAGGCCACACTGTTGAGGAGTCAGGAAGAGGAAAGTGGTCCCTGCCTCAGGAAGCCTCAGGTCTGAGCTTAGATGAAAACCACACCTACTAAACAGCAGTGAACTCTGCAAGGCACCTAGGGATGGAGTGCTGAGAAAGGCAGGTGGATGGCAGTAACGGAAGGGGAGAAAGGGAGGGAGTTCCAGGCAGGGAGGCGAGAATGGACGAGGGCCGTGAGGGGGATGCTGGAGGCTTTGGGGAGAAAGGTGGGTTCAGGGGAGACCATCTGAGAGGGTGGGTCTGTGCTGGGGAGGGCTTGGCCATTCGGATGAGGCTGTTCCAGGTGGTGTGGTAGGCAGTGGGAGATGGTGGGAGGTCCTTGAGCTGAAAGTGATAGAGAGAAGATACAGCTTTCAGGAAAGTTGCCTGGTGGCAGGGTGTTAGGTGGAGGAGGGAGGACTGGGCAGGATCTTGGAGTATGGTTGTCAGGTAAAATATAGGGTGCCCAGTTATATTGGAATTTCAGATAAACAATGGATGCATTTTTAGTATAAGTATGTCCCAAATGTTACCTTCAATGTGGCCCATGCAGTATTTGAGATATATGTATGCTAAACAAGTATTCACTGTTTATCTGAAAGTCCAACTCAACTGGGCATCCTGTGTTTTGATTGGCTTCAGACGTGAAGTCCCACTTCATCCTCACACCTCTCCCCTCCTCTCCTCTCCCACCTACATCAGCCCTTCCTTCTGGGGCCAGAGCCACTCAGTGGTTCACCAAGGACTGAGGAGTCCAGCCCCCAGAGAGCCCAGGTCGTAGCCGGGGGTGATGGAGGGAGAAGGTCTGAGTATAGAGAAGCATCAGGAAGAGCATGTTAAGGAAATTCCAGTTTGGAGACCAACTTGCCAGAACCACGACGGGCCTGAGGTTTAGGGCGCGTGCTCCAGACAGTCAGGATCTGGGCTCCACTGTCCCCTCCCCTGGAGCCTGTGGTACTTCAGTGCACGGAGCTGCCTTCGCAGCTCATTTCTCTTTGGGCGTTGGGAAAGCTAAGCCAGAGAGAACGGCGGGGCTGCTTCTCTCCACGGCGTGACAGGGCTGCTTCTGATGCATTACAGTCACGTGTGTAAGAACCGGAGAGCCTCACCTTTGCCCTGTAGTAGGCCTCAGACGTTGCATGGACCCTAGAACACTGCCAGGAGCCACAGAGTGCTGGCACCTGGGATGGAGCTGCTTGGTCTCCAGCCAAACCCTTGGTCATTTGCTCCGTCCCTGGCTGTCCCTGACATCCGTCTGAGCAACCCAGCTTTTCCAGACTTCCTTAGTCTGCCCAACCACTCCCCTGGCCATTAGCCATTTAAATTCTCCAAGACCAAGGGTTTCCCCCCTGCTTTTTAAAAAATCTTCTGAATACCTCTGCTGTGGCTCTCTCCTTTCTTCCTGAGTGAGCCTCCAGCACTAACATCTTCCACCCGCCTGAAAAAGGACAGTCTCCCACCAGGCCTGCCAGGGCTCCGGTTCACAGGCGAGCCTTCTGCAAGGCTCTCGGTGGCCTTTTGTGTGAGCACCAACCCCGGCACTCACTCGGGGGCAGTCATTTCACTCTCGGAGCGGCAGTGTCCTCATGTGTGAAATAGGACTCGAGCAGTCAGCCCTCCCGGAGGCTCTGAGATGGGATGGTGTGTGTGAGGGACTCGGCCAGAGAGGACCCTCAAGAAGTGCTAGATCTCTCTCTGTTCCCCCAAAGAGGGGGCCGTTTTGTTGTAAATCTGGTCCTATGTTCAGTGAACCCCTCAAAGGCCCCCCTCGCATTTTATAAGCATAAACAGAATCTTCCAGAGGCTTTTTTTTGGTGAGCAATGGGCAGCACACATGGTCGCTAAGTCAAAAGAAGGTCTTGGGGGGAGGGGCACCAAGGTGTGGGAGGCAGGAACTTTCTTGGGGGGCGAGGGGGGGGGTGTGGGAAGGGACTCGGAGAGAAGGAAGGCAGTAACCGTGGGAGATGGTGCCCAGAGCCCCGCCAGTGGGGGACGAGCTCCCTTCCCAGGCTGCTGGCCAGTTAATAAAATTAGTTGAGGAAGAAAAGTTCCCTCGAGCCTGGTGTCCTCCCCAAACCTGGGGCTTCTGGAGACGCCACAGTCTCCCACAAAAGCTGGGCTTTCCTCCTGCGGGGCCCGCTGCCCCTTCTCCCCACTCGGTGGCTGTCCCTCCCTTCACACCACAGCCCTCCAGCCCCTTTTATCTCTCTCAGCCACCAGCGCAGGTGGCCAGGTAGAGCCAGAGCTGGTGGTGCTGGGGGCCCAGCAGAGGAGGGAGGGGTGTAGCTGTCACCCGCAGTGAGGCTCTCTTGTCCCCACAGGTAGAGAGGCTTTGGTTCACCACCCTTCGTAGTCGGGGGAGAGCAGTGTAACAGACACACAATTCACACATCTGCTCTGCTAACAGCTAGACCAGCCTTCAGACATCTAGGTTGGTGGGGAGGGGATGGGTCCTGAGGGGATGAGATGAGAAGGTGGAAGGATTATTCACACTAATCTTCAACTATGGATAATCCCGAATCTCTCCTATCTACTCTGGCATATAGACTTTTACAGACGTTGGTTGTGTTGTGTTGTGTTGGGACCGGCTCTAACCAGTTCCATCTGAGCTCACATGCCCCTGCGGGTGAGAGCACTCACTTGCCCCCCATACACCCTCCCCATCTTCCATGGTACTTGGCTGCAAGAGCAGATGTGAGCAAACACAGGAAGTGTCTGGGGCAAGGGAAAAAGGGCAAAACAGCCACTACCAGGAGAGCAGTGGGGGGACCGCAGGCAGGCCGGAGGTACCAGGGACAATTAACCAAGAAGGCAGCTTCTGCTTCAGTGTGTCTGTACATCTACCCTTTATATGTCTCATACTATTTGGGGACAAGCCCCCAAATGAAGCAGGTTTGCAGGATGGCCTGGGAACTTCACCACGCTTAGTTTTCATACATTTTGTAGGGAGATTTTACAGGAAAAATAAATAAAAGGCAGATTTTACAGGAGAAAAGGCCTCTAAGTCAAATTCCAGGAAATACTAGGTTAAACAAAGAGATAAAGGTTTACTTATTGGAGAATTTGGGGTGGGAGGGGAGGCTTTTATTTGTTAATGAGCCTTGAACTGCCCCCAGAGGGGGCCTGGCTGTACAGCTAGGAGGCCACAGAAAGCCCCCTTTCAAGGAGGCCTGTTAGGGCAGTTCTGGGAAATGCTGATGTAACTCGCAGTAGATGCACTCAAAGTTGCAAAAAGGTGACTTCTAACTGGATTTTGGAACCTGATCCATCTGGGAACTTGGTGTTTCAGAAGGTGACCGGGAGCCATGGATGGTTCTATACCTTGTCCTGGGATGGTGGGGGGGTGGGGCGGGGGGAAAGAAGGGGTAAAAGCACTTCTGCAGGCTCTCAATTGATTTTTGCTGAGAGTGTTAATTTGCACTGTTATTGTTCTAATACTATTATTATTGTTATGGGGGGGTTCCATAGGGGACACATCAGTTGCTTAGTGCAGGCCAAGAGCACTTGCTCTCAGGGCTTGGAATTTTACAGAATAAAAGGGAGATGCCGGCAGCCCCTGGGACGAGGTGGTGGGTTCATGGAAGAGGGTCTGGACTGAATCCCGGTGTCCACCAGGAGCCCGGCTGGGTCCGGCCTCGGCCAGGCCCGGGAGGGGGTGGAGGGGCCGCGAGGACTGCCAGCCTCTGCCCTCCCCTGTGGCCGGGCGGCACTCGCAAAGGGGGTGGCCCCAAACGGCGGCCAAGTTTTCTCCGTGGTGCCTCCCTCCCTCCCCCTCGCACTCCTCTCTCTCCCCAGGCCGGCACCCTGTGCCCTCCCGCTGCCAGGCCCCCTCCTGTCAGGGAGGACAGTGTCCAATAAACCGCCCCTTACCCCAAAGGGAGGAGCCTCTAGCCCCGCCCCTGTCCGGAGGGGGAGGAGACTATAGCCCCGTCCTTGCCCAGAGGGGTGGGGCCTCTAGCCCCGCCCCTTACCCCAAAGGGAGGAGCCTCTAGCCCCGCCCCTGTCCGGAGGGGGAGGAGACTATAGCCCCGTCCTTGCCCAGAGGGGTGGGGCCTCTAGCCCCGCCCCTTACCCCAAAGGGAGGAGCCTCTAGCCCCGCCCCTGTCCGGAGGGGGAGGAGACTATAGCCCCGTCCTTGCCCAGAGGGGTGGGGCCTCTAGCCCCGCCCCTTACCCCAAAGGGAGGAGCCTCTAGCCCCGCCCCTGTCCGGAGGGGGAGGAGACTATAGCCCCGTCCTTGCCCAGAGGGGTGGGGCCTCTAGCCCCGCCCCTTACCCCAAAGGGAGGAGCCTCTAGCCCCGCCCCTTGCCTGGAGGGGGAGGAGACTATCGCGGGCCCCACCGCCCCCTCCGGCCCCGGCGGCCCAGTGGAAACCCAGGCCCTCGTCCCTCGTGTCTCGCCAGGCTTCGTGAGTTTCGACAACCCGGCCAGCGCGCAGACCGCCATCCAGGCCATGAACGGCTTCCAGATCGGCATGAAGAGGCTCAAGGTGCAGCTGAAGCGGCCCAAAGACGCCAATCGCCCGTACTGAGCGCCGGCGGGAGCGTCCCCCGGGGGAGACCAGGACTCGTCCCCGACCTCCGTGGCCTGGACCCGCTGCGCCCGTCTGGACCTGCTCCTTGCCCGGCTCCTAGGGGCCAGGCGCAGAGCAGTGGTCACCCCGAGAAATAGTCATGGCCATCCCCCTGACGCAGAGCCAACGGAGCAGAGTGAGGGGACCGTTCTGAGAAGTGGGGGGCCCTGTGCCTGTGCCTCCTGTTTGCCATATGGCAAGCTCAGCCCTGGGCGCAGAGTAGGTCCTGTGGGGAGCTGTAGCCCTCTGTGGGGCCTCCCTGGCTCCCCCTTCCCCAGCTCTCCTGCCTGGACACTTGATCCCCTCCCCCCTCCAATTCCCCATAGCTCAGCCTGGAGAAGAGGAACAGGGCTTTTCAAAGGGAACTTTACAAAACCGGAGAGGACAGAAGCTGAGGATAGTGATGCTGTACCCCGGGCCATTTCCCTGCCTGCTGTACGAGGCCAGGATGGGTGGGCAGTCGTCACCCTTTCTGCTCAGTCTGGGTCCTGCCTTGAGCTGGAGACACCGTGGGCCACTCCTCTAAGCGGCCACTTGTGCCCCTGAGTGAAGCGGCTGCCTGGGAAAGTGGGGAGGGAGGCGCTATGCCAGGACATCCAAAGTCCTCCTTCAGCCTGCTTGCCCATGGCTGTGAGCTCCTGCAGGGTCCGCGCATTTCTCAGGCCAGAGACAGGCCGCGCAGCCCGCTTCCCCCCATCCCTTCGGCAGTGCTGTGCCCCCAGTGAGACCGGCAAGAGTCCTTGTCCTAAGCAGGGGAGAGAGACAATAAACAATGACGTATGATCAGAGTAAATTCCATAGTGCGTCAGAATTGTTGGCCACGGTTAAATCAGGTAGTCAGGGTAGGCCATCTACCAGAGAGAGTGACATTCAAGTGGAGACTCCAAGAAAGGGAGGCAGGGTCTGAAGGAGTTTCTCCAGGAATCTAAGAGGAAGAAAACAGAAACAGGAAGAATGGGCAAAATTGTGGGCAAGGCCAGGTCTACAGCCAGAACCTCAAGTCCCTGTCCCACTAAGTTCACAACAGGAGCTGGGCCCCACGCTGAGGTGGTTCTGGGTTGGAGGACACTGAGCATCATGTCTGACTCCAGTGGGAGTCCTGTCCCTCCTGCATCCTGCGCTCCTGCACAGGGTCTGCTCTGAGTGTTGGGACACGGGTGCTTTGGGTCTGGCTTGCATGGGGCTGGCCTTCCCTGGCTAGAGCCCCGCTGTGCTTAGGGCCAGCATCCGAATGGCTGTGGCCTGGCCATCATTTCCTCACCCCAGTCATGAGCTGGAGCCTCCCTGGCCTGATTCAAGCTCCCCCATGCTGGCCAGTGACCCTGTGCAGCCACAGGGCTGCGCTCTCAGAGGCTCTTCAGGAGGGCACCCGGGAAGTCCCCCAGCAGGCAGACACGCTGTTCCCTCGTGAAGAGAGCAGTTGGCCCCTCAAGGATTGAATGAGTGTGTGTCTGTGTGTCGGGGCCAAGCGTGTGTGAGATGTGAATGTATGAGAAAGTTCCCTGGATTGAGCTTGAAGGAGGAGGGGCTGTGTGACATGCAGGTTTGGATCCCCAGCACCTAGGACAGCGCCAGGCACTGAAGGGCAGATGGAGGAAAGCTGGGGGCAGGAGCAGAGCAGAGTCCGAGGAGTGGGTACCTTTCAGTGCTCAGGACCAGGGGGTAGGGGGAAAGAGAGGTCTCCAGGGGACCCCTTAGTTGTTCTTGCATAGCCCACACCTGATGGCACTGCCCTCCTCCATTCTGAGGCCTCTCCTCCCACCCAAAGGGACCTGCCAATTAGATATCCTGGGTGGGTCTCAGGGCTGTCTTCCGGAAGGGGGTGGTATTGTAGGGGAGGGTGGCATGTCCGGACTTGGAGGTTATGCAATGGGCCCTGGTCTATGTGAGCAAGAATCCAGGTTGGCCGTTGGCCTGGCAGGCTGGGCAGGGGCTTGGGAGGAAGAGGGGCTGGGAGTTGTTCTGTGAAGGCAGAGCTGAAGCTGGGTTTGGGCTTAAAATAGTCACCTCTCAGCTGCTTTGCAGCTTGTCCACACTGACATTTCACGATCCCAAGCTGCTCTTCAGCCTTCCCTTGAAGGAAAACAAAGCTGAAAGTGGAAGTCAGCTGGGCTGCGTGTAGAAGCCTGGTGGGTGGGGAACCCTGCAGATAAACCTGATGCTTGAGTACCAAAGGGGAGGGGGCTGGGGAGCAAGGTTAAGGGTAACCATGACAAGGGGATAGAACTGGGGACCCCACCCTGGGCCAGCATCCCTGGGTGGGGGCAAAGGACCGTGAAATGGTGAGGAAACAACTCAAAGTGAAGAGAAGGGAATCCAGCCTCAGCCACCTAGGGCTCTGCCCGTAAAGAAGGCAGGCCAGGGCTGTGCGATGGTCAGCCAACAAGGCTGTACAGGGAGGGCTGAGGTTGTAAAGGGATGGAGAAGGAGGAGGGGGGTTAGGGGAGGTCAGCAGAGCGAAAGTGACAGCAGCAGAGAGAGATCTGGGGCCACAGCACTCCCTTTCTGGGGAACTGTCCTTGTATCACCTGCCCTGCAGGGCGCCCTGCAGTCTTCCGCCTTATCCTGCTGCAGCTGCAGAGCCTCCTAAAGGCTCCCTGTGCCCAGAGCAGCCTCCCTTTGGCCACATGGGCCTCCCAGGGAGCAAAGCTCAGGGTGGGAGGTGATCGGGACATGATTAGTGCCAGGGCATGTGTATAGATTCCTAGGAACGTTGATGTGATTTCCTCTAAACTGAAAACTCAGGGTATTCCTGTTCTGAGGAAAGAGGGTTGAGGCAGAGCGGAAGGGGACAGGATTATAACATCATGCAGTGGGTTCGCTTGTAGTGGAGGCTCCCTTCCCTGGAGACGGTGGCCCAGGTGGGACCCGAAGGGTGGGAGGGCCAAGTTGCTGCCAGTGTGGACTGTACTGTGGCAGCAAAGTATCTCATGGATGGACCTCATGGGTCCAACAGCCACCTTAGCCAGCCTCTGACCTACCTGGCCATCAGGTCACCTGACAGGCTCCCCCTGCTGGTCCACAGGCTGAAGCCACAGGAGGCTGGGGAGGTGAGGAGAGCCCGGCACCTGGGGGAGAGAGAAAGAATCAAGGGTGATAGAAAGCAGAGACGTGCTGCCGAGCTGCTTGCCAGCCAAGGTGGTTTTAAGGGGCTGTTTTATTTTTTTCTGGCCCCCTCGCCAAACTGCCCCCGCCCCCACCCCCCTTCCCAACGCATGATGGATGCCCTCAGTGGCCCTGTGTGAGGTCCTGCTGCTGTTCACAGTGTACCATGTGTCTGCATAAACAACCGTGCGTGTATGTGTGTGTGTTGATGTGCCCATGTCGTCTGTCTGCCGCTTCCTCCATCCTTTGAGTTCTTTTCAGTTCTCTTATGATTTGACTGCTGTTCTCTCATCTGAGCTGTTAGATTGACGCTGTGGTCTGGTGCTGTATAAATATTTTTCCTTTTAATTTTGTTTTAACTTCTTCCTTGCCCTCCTTCACCCTCCACCCAACTCTCCCTGCCCTCCCACACTCCC